ACACTGTACAGGTGCTGTTATACTGAGGAAAAGTTTTTCACTGGAATACATATAACACTATGTTATGTGTTGGCATTGCAATATCGTTACGAAAAATAACATGTTAATTTAACTATTTGATCAAATTGACTAATTAGGGAAGACAAAAATTAATCCTATAAAGAAATTTGCAGGGCCAGAATTAGGATAGAATATAATGAGGATGTCTTGTTTGGCACAGATTTTTTCAAGAGAAAAAAAGATTTTTTTTGAAAATATTTGGTTAAAAAGTGAAGAAAAGTTGTAGTCCCATTAAATGTGTGATTAAAAGTAATCTTAAAAAAATCTTCGACAAACAAGCTCTTAGTGCGTTGTAAATCAAGAATTTGTAACTTCTGAGATCGTTCAAATATATTAAGGGTCCGTTTGATTGTAGGAGTGGAAAATGGGTGGAAATAAAATGAATTTCAGATAAAGTAATTGCCTAGAACTTGTTTTTCAGGGAATTATTAATTAAGTGTGTTTGATTGATATAATTTTCCAATCAAAAAATTTTAAAATTTTGGATCTTTTTATATTTGTTTGGATTTGTTTTACATATAAATTGTTCATTAAAGTAATAATTTTTTCCACAATTGGTTATAAAATTTGTTTCCATGGCCAAAAAATAAAATTTCCTAAAAAATCATTTTTTTCATCAAAGTTTAGTATTCGTTTGGTTTTGTTTTACATAAAAATTGTCCATTAAAGTGAATTTTTTTTTACAATTGGTTATGAAATTTATTTTCACTGCCAAAAAAAAAAGTGAGAGTTATTTCACTTCACGCCTAGAAAATGGCACGTGAGGTGAAAACTTTTTCCACAATTGGCAGAGAAAATTTTGGACATCAAACACTACCAAAAATGGAAAATGGAATTTTCATGGAAAATCCATGCTATCAAACTGGGCCTAAAAATAAGAATAATGCTAAGTGTATTAGAATAATGCTAAGTGTACACAATTTTTTACACAATCTTTTACACCTCTCTCACATGGAAGGGGGCCCACACATAATAAAATAATCGTGGACCCCCCTCCATGTGAGAGAGGTGTAAAAAATTGTGTAAAAGTGTGTGTGTACATGTAGCATTACCCTAAAAATAATTGGAACCTTGTGCAGTAAGGACCAGTGGCCTAGTGGGAGAATATTCCCTGCATTGGTATAGACCTGTGTTCAATTCCTAGCTACTGCATCTTTATTTTTTTGAACCTGTTGGATATTTTAGTTTTCTTTATTTCATGTTGGCTCAAGTTTAACTTGATATGTGTTTATAATTTTGCATGCCAAGTATTAAATTCTGCACCCGCATAATCATGTATTTCGATTCTACATGTCTGAATCACAGCGAGCTAAATGATTCAAATTCTCCAACACTGCATTACAACTTATGAATAATAAAGGAAAAATAATGGAAAACTCAACAATTTAGAACTTCTCCACAATGACCCCATCTCTAAGAACCTCATAAGCATCTCGGCTTCTGGTTTTCTTCATACCAGCAGAGAAATGGAGCTTCGTACTTTCGGATGAAATAGCACTAACTTTTATCCAAATCATCACCTTAGTTTTCATTCCCTCTATATCGGTAAGCTTACCTTTCTCGAGATATCCGGTTATAACAGTCGAGAAACGCAAGACAGATGAATCCTTGTAACCAACTTCACAGACTGACGGGATATAAACAGTAAGCTTTCCCGTCTCCTCGTTGAACTCATAGTTGGTGGCATCACGAGGGAATATACCTACTGCCATGTCATAGTCCTTGAGCAATTCCTCCAATGGCTTTTGCATTTTTCCTGAAAAAGACCTTATTTATGACCAAGATGATGAATTTTAACAACACAAGGCAAACCTTTCAAAACAAGGCTACAAACTGGCGATATATACAACATAGGAAAATCTGTCAAGTCAATTAAAAAAAATAAATTTGAATTATGGTTTACTACTAGTGAGACAAGGAACTCTTCATTTTCTAAATGTACAGCATTTCAGTACTCCAGTATATCATATAATCTATGGCAATAAGCTTTGTCCTGCATCTTAAGGTACAATTTTCTTTTCCATAGGCAACCTTTACCTAAGAATTACGAAAGTAAAAAAGGCTGAATGAGGACAAAAAACAAACCTTTTATCTTGTTAACCAACCATTTGGTTCCTCCTTCGATACTGGTTGACAATGACTAAGCAAAAAATGAACAAATTGGTGTCACAATACAGAAAGAAGATACGCAACAACGAGCAAAAAAAGGAACAGGTGCTACAAATCTAACTTCTATTCCGAACTTTTGGAATCCAGTGCTTTTAACCAGTTTTGGCAGCACCAACACAAGGCCAAAGTGTAAATCATTTTTGCCTTGTTTATATTAAAAATTAGAATTAGAAAATCTATAGTGCACAAAAAGCTTTTGGAAACTAGCAGAGATCTAATATTTAAGACTGGGCATCTGCTTCCCCCAAGTGATAGACACAAACACATTGCTATCATACTGAAAAAGCAAAGAGATGCACATCTAATTTCTTTATTGTAAATTACAATGGAATTGCAGTGTAAAATGCCATGGACCTCATTAAACATTCACTTATTTCAAATATTTTTAAGTTGAAACGTCAATACATCACGGCGTTTTTGGATATCCCACCTCTCAAATTGGCAGTTTCTTGTAAAAGCTTAAATCTCATGCAGATGCCATTATAAGTTTCCATAAGATATAACAAAATTCACATTAATATTTAACTTTGAAGCGCACATCTTGCAAGAGAAAGAAATAACTGGGAGTTTAAGCCCCAATCAGCTTGACATATGCCTAGAATTCCTTCCTTAGAACTCAAAACAAAATCTTACTAATGCCATCTTACTCATAAGATTGATGCTAACAAAAATTGGAGCACATCGGCCTTCACAAAATCAATTATTTTTTAGTAATCTTCCTCAACAAATCTCCATTAACACTTATAATGTCATTGTCTCAGTTACAAGTGTGGCGAAATGGAAACCACGAGTACTTCGTTCATGCAAGTTCTTATAGGGACAATGCATTGTGTTCCTAATAACATATAAAATCCTCATTATTAATGGATTACTTGATCATAATTATAGTTAGTTTAAGATGCAAACATAGAACAAAATTCTTGATCATTGCTAGGCATCAGTCGATACATTTATACTCCCAAGATGATACCATCAATTTTCAATTGAAAATTCTTACAATTCTTTTTGTTCTACAAAAGATGATCTATGTATTAGGACATTAAGGGAAATTATGCAAAATTGTTAAAAACCCAAATTTAATCTTTTGCAAGCGATTATCCAATTCTTATCAGTAAACCTATTGAATAAACCCACAAGATCATAAATTATTACGCCCAAATCATCAAATATCACAATCCATTACTAAGATTCCCAAATCAAATCCCTTAAAAAAGATAAAAGATAAAAAACCAAAATTCAGCCCAAACAGAATCCGCTTAACCTCATAGCTCTTTTACGTTAATGTTTTAATTCAATTCAGATAAATAAAATAAAAATACAGATTCTTACATTAATATCATTGCCGACGGAGTTCATTTCCTTGCTCGCTTTTTGACCCAACCAGTATGAACCTACCTTGCTAATTATCTGATCCATTTATAAAAAATTGTATAATCTGATAGATGAGATTAATAATTGTATTATGATTTGATGAAAATTGAAAAATCTCTCTTTCTCTTTCTCTCCGCCCGAATTTTAGAGCGAGAGAGACGGATATGAATGGAGTCGAATTTACGATACACTCAAGTGCATGGCAAACTATTGGAAAAAATAAAATATTATCAACGTGTTGTACGAGAATGTATGAAACGCGTATTTGTTGTTGGTTATGGTTGGTGTTTGGTATTATAACGTTTTTAAGTTTTAAGTAACTTTTATTTATAACTAGTTTTATGCCCGTGCAATGCACGGACTGTCTTTTTAGGCAATGTTAGCATGTCTAATTACATTATAATAAATTGAAGAATTAGCATAGTAAAATAATTCCACTCAAAATTTAAACAACATAAACTTGTAATCGCAAAAGTTAACCGACTGTTAAACTCTTTTTGTGTCAATGAATATAAAAAGCAAAAATTTTCACTACTATTTACTTTGGAAAATGTATGTTCTATGACCTTCACTCAATGAATCACTAAAGAAATCTCTTGTTTCACTTACGGAGTCAGTCTTTTTCCTATTTCATATCATCAATTCAAAATAAATAATTATCTCGCAATTCGTAAATAAATACATCAAAACAAATAAAAACAAAACTTTATCAATAATAATTCAATTGGAAGAAATCCAAATATATACAACTAAAATTTTCAATTTTACCAGCTCAAATTGAATCAAATACTAATTGCTGGTAATGTAAAACCCTGAATCGTTTAACTACCAAAAAATAATAATCAACATATAACGATTTGCTATTCCTTAAGATTGAACCCCATTAAATGGTACAATGAATAAAAATTCATAATGGAAAATTCAGTTCAAAAGGTGAACATTTAACATGTATGTAAGTATAAAGGATAATTGATTTATATGTACATCTGTGTTTGTAAGTATAGGAATTCCTTTAGTTGTTTTGTTAAGTATGAATTCAGTGTCACCATTTTTTTTTTCACGAATATGATTATCCAATAGTATTTGAATCAACGAGGACACGTGATACAGGAGGGTCCGAATCAGACGAAGTTGAGTTGTCAGATAACTCGTTGATGGCGCTAACGTACCATGAGTTGGTGGATCGGCGTAAGAATGGAAAGTAATCGACGACATTTCCTAATTGGGGTCAATTTTGAACACGTTTTGGTGTTTTGACCATAACTTTGGCTACGGTTGTCAGAATCACGCCTGTGACCCCAATTCGGAAAGCTCGTTTCGACACGCACGTCGTGGGCACCCAGCTATGCTCGGTGTGCATCGGTTTCGAGGTTAAATTCAGCTGTTTTCCCTTCCGAATCATCGATTTAAGTTATTTTTTTCCATTTATGGTAATTTTTTGATTTCCTTTTTGACATAGAATAATTGCTCGATTTGAGCCGGATTTTGGTGATATTATTTCTTTTATTAAGTATTTTATTTTGGTATGAGTAATAGGATTTTGCTATGTTTGGCAAAATTTCGATAATTATTATTTTCTGGCTATTTAACCCGGCTTGTGGGTTATTTTCATTCAGTTGTTGAATAATAAAGATATTTCTCGTTTTTCTTTGTGTTTCTCTTGCGTTCTTCTCTGTTTTTGTCAATTGATTCCAGCCTGCAGAATAATCACTATACTGCCGGCGTCAACGCGGAAAGTATTCATTGAAATAAAATCAACAGCAATCTTTCGCCTGTATATAGTCATCCTGTCTGCAAAAACTGATTCTACTGAATATCCTAGAACGAAGCATTTTATGTATTTGAGTAAAAAAGTTCTACAGTTTGGCCTACGAAAGAAATAGTTTTATGTTAAATGAATTTAGTATCATAAATGTATACTTAAATTAAGTAGAGAGCGAAATATTACAGTAAACAATAAATAGTCTATGTATTCACCCATTATTTGCAGAAGGTTGATATGGTATGATGTCTATCTCCATTAATCTATTTGTATTTTTCCTTATATAGTGTCTATAAGCAGAAAGTTCTGGACACAACAACAATGCTTGTGTTAAATCAAGTACTGCATTTGAATGTGCCTTGATTTGTTCTGGCGTGTGAATGTTGTCTCTACAGTCGTAGATCTAGAATTTCCATTCCGGAATATTTACAAGAAAGAGATACTGAGTATTGTTTGGGTACGAACATAGAATTAATAGGTATTTGCATTTTATCTACGGACGACCAGCAACTGGTCAATCCCCATTTACGTATTGTTGTAAAATGGCCAAATTCCTTGAAGTTGTAATGGCATTTCTTCCTCGAATTTCCATTTGCACCATCATTTGATTAGTACACTCATTCTCATATCTGAAGTCTAGAATTGCAAATTCCTTTGAAATAAGTGTAGAATCGTCATTGATAAGCCGCCGCAACAATTTTAACTCTAGATCAAGATTCTAATAGAATAAGTAGATGTAAATTAAATATATTATATATAGAATTAAAGGTATTATGAAGAATGAATTTTACTAACCGCAGTAGTAATATTTTGTGTTGTGTCCATTATACTTTTTATCAAGTCTCTTCCGTATACATGGTTAGATCTATCAACCCAATATGAGCTGTATAACATAATGTCATTTAGTTTCAAATAAATAAAATGAAAATAATAATATTTAATTTAATGAAATAGAATTAGAGTGGTTATCCTGATAGATTCTTTGTTACCCAATCAATAATTGTTGTGTATCTGTTCATACAATAGTCTTCCAAATGATAATTTGTTGATGGTCAAAAAATATCGTAAAAAGGTTATTAGCAACGCTAAAAAAACTTTGTTGTAAATTTTCACTCTACAACAATATCGAAGTTTGCAACATAAGTCCGAACGTTGCAAAATGTCTTCGGCGACATTTTTTGCACGTTGCAAAAGATTATTTTTGTTATAGTAATTCTATAGATACGACTATATAAGTCAATTAAAAGGTAAGAAACTTAACCCACCATTTCGTGTTACATATACCAAACACTATTACTTTAGGGGCAAAATGAATATTGCTTGCAATCACTCATATATTGTACTTGCTCATTAAACTCAAGATCTTGATGTTTCAAGTGTTTGGTCGAGATTTCATTATTGATGAATTAAAAATTGGCTACTGCCCCTATCCCAATAATATTTGACTAAACAAAGCCTTTAGTACATGTCATAGTAGAATCTAATAGCAAAATATATAACTCAATAATTTTATCAATCAAAAGAATGAGAATCGCTTTATACGTATTTCAAAGAGACCTACTAGTGATGTGCTTTAGAAATGACTAGACTTGATTCTTACAATTAGAGAATGCATGTGAGCTCAATCGATCTTCTTCATTTAAAGCTTCCTTTTAATCAAACAGAATTCGACTTCTCTATTACACCTTAGTCATATTTTGAGAATGAGGCTCTTGTAAATAGTTACCATTTTCTTAGCAACAAATAATTTTCCTATGATATTGACAATATATATCATAATCTATCCATAGCCTTCTCAAAATTCATACTCATATGCAACTATGTATATACATTCATATCAAATTACAATACATGCATACATATGCTAGGAGCATAAATTTCATTTCCTTTACAATTTGATAATATGGAATGTCTTCATTTTGTCCGCAAATGGCATGAATGAGTGATCCTAAGAATCTCATGCATGAAAATCAAATACAATATGCCTGGTCTGTATCTTACGAGGAGTACAATTTTTAAAGCATATGGCCAAGTTGGGTATTAATTAATACACATCTACTTTGATTGAAGCATTCTTCTAGATGACCAAATTGCTTGAAGAAAATATATTTAATGTCAAATTGTGTGGCTTGAAGGTGGTATTTGGTACTATTGTGGTTTAGATTAAGCTCCTTTAAATTCATTTTTGTCAAAATTATTTCCAACCACAAATTCTATCCATAAAATAATTTTGCATGTGAAACCATTATTTTTCCTATTTTTTAATCACAGATTTTTCAAAAAAAAAAAAAAAAAA